CGCTTGCCCACAAATGGACGACTGTTCCAGACGCTCGTATTGATTCATTTGCTAATGCAAATTATGAAGCGAAGGGATTGGTATGAAGCGGCGCGGTGCTGCATGGATACATAGTTCACTTATGCAGCCCCATCTTCGGTAGCGGTTATTGGCAAGATGCGGGAAACTCGTCCGAAATCGATTTTCAAGTCACTGAGAACGGAGGCTTTTTCTTCGCAGGATTTTGACCGTTTCACTCCGTTCTTTCGCCATTTCCCCACTACATAGCGCCCTACTAGCATTTTAGGCCGAGTGGGAAACCATCGTGCCAACTGCCTTTAAAGAGGTGGGGGGGGGGGAAGGGGTGGAGAGGCAATCTAGCTTTTTGTCAGTTCCTAGCTAAGTAAAACACTTGTTAAGCTCTGAAATGGTACAAATGAGCCATACATATTTGTTAGTGGACTTTACAGGCGAAGGGACAAGCACCGTTCGGTGCCCCTACCTAGCCGAACCGCGCTCAAAATGTAATATTCAGTGATTGTGAAGTAAGTTTCGGCAGTAGTTAAACTATTCTCTGTTAAAGCAGACGTAGTTCTGCCCTTCTGGGTAACAACTCAACGCCATCGTAAAGTTCTCGTCTAAACCACGACAAGTCCTCATGGAGTGAGTAGGAGCACAACAAAGAGTTTGAGCGCACGGAGGACTTCCTAATAGGGGCAATGGAGCAAAACTTTGCAAAAGATGCTTGCAAGGGACTTGCCGCTCTTAACGAGAAGAGAGCCTGAACGCCGAACTGACGAGAAAATGCGAAAAAGCGACTCGAGTCAGTTTATGTATTCTGCCCAAGCAGGATATTCTGACCGATACTGAAGACGACCAGCCGCTGAGAATAGATATCATGTTTGCGGTCAGGGTAAATGATTTCTTTGCTATCATGCTGATATCAAAAGTGATTGTAGGCAATACAGATGAGAAAGGTTCATTTGGTTACAGCACTGAGAACGGTGAGGTCCTCTGCTGGCTGTTGCATCTTGCAGTCCTTTACCTGCGATATTCCAGGGTACTCAACGCTGCCTTCGCTCGAATTGCAGAGCACACTGACTCCATCAGCTAATCGTGGCAGCTTTGCTGGTGAGCATTTGGGAACGTCCAGATTTACATTGCGCCGGTTGATTGTTTTGTGAGTTTAGTACTCCTGTTCCTGTGAAGAAGAACCCAAAGGGTTCGACGATACCGAGTGTGGCAAGAAGAAAGGATGCCTATTCGCTCCGCCAGGATGCCAACAGAAGAAAAACTGCCTGATCAGCTTTAGTTACCAGGTTTGCTTTGAACGTGTGTTGAACTGCACCCATAACTGTTAGCAGTAAGACCCTGCTGGCATCAGCGAGCCGACCTGGATACGGGCCACAGAATCGCAAACTGCCGCTTCGTTTCACGCGGCTATGCGCGCGACGTTTCCTTAATTTGCACTACCCTTTTGACTGGAGCATCAGATTCCACCTAGACAAGATATGGTAGACACTTATGTCTATTTTTGGTCATACATTGTCTATTCTCGACCAATACCACCTAAAATCGTCGTCATTAGCGGGCGCGACGTCGCACGCGACGCCCACTGGCGCGGCGAATTACGATTCTCTTGCCACATACCCGAGCCAGCCGCACATTCCTCGCGGTCGCCTTTGCCTTGAGGCAGGTGAAGGTGAAGACGATTGCACGATGGGATCGCGCGAATCTATGAGCGCTTCGGCGGCAGGGATGGATACTTGCATCAGTAGGACGCTTCAACGGCTAATTTGGCAAGCTGTCCAAAAAGGTAGTTCCACAATGGGTTGATATTCAGAAACCTTTCCAAAGAAAAAATGGCGCGAGTGCTCACGATGTTGCGCTAAGCTACGTTTTGTGCCCTTGCTTTACTTCTCAAAACAATTTTTGGCCTCGGAGCGCAGACAGTCACGTCGCTTCCCCACCTGTACGCGAAGTCTAAGACAGCGTTCAGACTTTGTCGCGCGAGGATTGCAGCGCTGCGCAGCGCGACAAGTCTGAACGCTGCGTAACAAGCAACGGCGCCCGGCCCCACCGCGTGGTGCTATGCACAGCTCCAAGGATGTCCCATTTTCGGTGCTCGGACGTACTTGACAGAAAAGCTGGGTTGCTTCTCAGGTACTGTGGTCTACGTCCACCCATTTGTGATCTCCCCTTATCATTTATGATCTCCCCTTATCATTCAGTCCTATCATCGCCATCGCTATATAGCAGCGAATTCTCCATCATTCGTGTACTCTCTCGCCATTCCAACATCTGCTTCTCGCTTCCACGCGTACTACCTCCTTGTCGTATGTTGGCATGATGCCTGAATTATGCAGATACTTTATAAAGGCTTTTTGATGAT